ATTGTTTTGAGGTCTTGTGGATGATTATAGTTAATTTAGTATTATTTGGTGGGTTGAGCATAGCATGATATTAGATGGTTTTGGAAATGTGATATAGGATTGATTTATGCTTAAGTTATGTATGGAATGAATTATTGCAAGTTATGTATATCATGTGAAATTGATGTTTTAAGCAAGTATTCAGACTTAGGCCTTAAGGCCATTTTTGATAGGGATTACAGTAGCCGGCATGCTGCCGGATTTTACCCAGCAGTGTGTTGATTATTGCCCCACTGTCATGCCCTTAGGTTTGAGAGGTTGAGGTGTGACACAAATTTTGTAATCGACGCAGATGCGTTCACTAATTAGTGACTATTTTATAATTAAAATAGTGTCAATTGCTAATTTTGTAACCGATTTTTTGATCGAAATGACTGCAGTCACAAAATTGATTATAAATCGATCACGAATTGATTATTATTTTTTTCAAACAAAATGAGCCTGAATCGGTTATAAATCGATCACGAATCGATTATTATTTTTTTTCAAACAAAATGAGCCTGAACCTGTCACTAACAAATCACTAATTGATTACTATTTAGTGACCCATTCCGGCAGCCACTTATTTTGTCACTTATTTTCGGCCACTAATTTTTTTTTTTTTTTTTTAGTAGTGGAAGCTGGATTTTGGATTTTTTAAATACAAGAATAATATTTAATTGGAATGTTTAAACTTCCAGGAAGCAGGGGGAGGCCTGGATTGTCCAAAGTGAAATAGACGCTTGTCCTCCTGAAAACGATGTTCGTCAAATGCAAGGGAAATTGACGAGGAGCGTCGTTTTTCCCATGGGCTTAAAATCAAAAACATGGTCCACAAATTCTGCGTTGAAATTTGCAAGGGATCAGTCAGTTTCATGCCTATACACAATGTTCCATGCCCACATTCTACGCCTTGAGAAAATCTTTTTCCTAATTAGAAATACATTTTATCACGTAGGAGGTGAGAGAAATGAATTAATGTGCAAGTGATATATGGTTGGATATAATGAGTATACACAAAATGGAATGAAAGCGGAATTAAATTAATATTTTATGAATATATTTATTACATACTTATAAAATAAAAATTTTTATTTTATCATTGTATTTAATATACTAAATTAAAAAAGAAAAAAGTAAAAAATTATTTTAAAATAAAAAAATGTTTATTAAAAATATAAACATAATAAAATATGATCTAAAATTAATCATTATATTGCTAAAATCTAGATTTTTCTCTGCATGATGTCCGTCTAGATTTTTCAGTGAAGAAATTAGAGAACCGACTCCTCAGAAAAATTGATCCTCCTGCAAAAATCGGTCTCTCAAGCTCAATATCTCAATTAAAATAAAATTAATTTATTTTCACAAATAATTTTTCAAAATATTTATTTTAATATATAATAAAATTTTATTAATATTAATATAAATTTTCCAAGAAAACGCTTATCACGATCTCGCCCTACCGTCGCCTTTTTATTAATATTAATATAGTTTGTATTGGCCGCGGTTGGTCCTTGAGAATTACGTCAACATGATGAAATAAATTATAATATTTCCTATGATATTTTTGTAAATCTATCCTTTTAAATGGTCAATATTTACCAGGCTGTCCCGACACGGTTTCTCTCACCTTTCTGCCGCCCTCCCTTGCCAACCAACTTAATAATTATTCCCGACCAAGGGTGGAAAAACGGGGGGAAAAATAAAGGAGAAAGAAAGGACACAGAAGAAGCCAAAATAGTGCAAGCTTCTCAACGACTCCCAAGTCCTCGTGAAACTTGCACTATCACATATAACTAATAGGAAATTGTCTAATATAGTAAATTTAAATAAATTTATATTATATAGTGAGAATACAAATCATAATTTATAATTTTTATTTATGACATAATAAGTTCTTTCAATTCTATTAATTAGTTTTTATTATCTTTCATATTAATTTGCCATAAATGTATAATATATACAAGAATTTACCAGATACAGATCTCATCACCATCCTCTAAAAATATTTCAATATTTCTTACTTTCCCATCTTGTTATGAGAAATATATTTCGCATGATTTATTATGTCTAAAATTCCTTTTTTAAAGGCATGGTTTTATTTATTTAAAATTGTTTATTATATTATGCCATATATTTGGTAAATAAATAGCTATTTATTCGAATAAAATGCTCGTTATATAAAAAATATATAGTTATTAATAAAATGTAAGTTAAAAAATTAAATATAAGATGATAATAAGCAACTACAAAAATTAAGATGTGTAACTAATTATTTTATTTATTTATTGTTTAAAGCAGTCTGCTTATTTTTTCTTATTTTTTTACTAAATTAAATAAAAAAACAAATTGTTAAAAGTCAATTTCAAGAAGAAAAATCAAATGTCTTCGAAGCCATATTTTTAAAATGAATGACAGGTTCAATGAATGCCAAATGGTTTATAGGTTAGTCATCTAGAATGAACCGATGCGCGTTTCCTTGCTAATTTCTTCCATCCTGTCACCATTTTTCTCTTCCACCGATATGATAAGAAACTGACATGTTAAGAAAATTGACCAATAAAGTTTACAGTTAGAAAAATGAGAGTACCTAAGGAAGTTCATCGGTCTGCATGGGAATGATCTCTAATGTACAGAAAGAAATGGGGATTAGGAAAGTTTCATTACTCTCTGAATGGGTAAATGCTGCCTCTTTCAACTCAATCACTTTTAAAGAAATAAACAGTCAACATTTCAATAATACCACCGAGTGAAACTGGGTCAATGGCTGCTCCTATAAAGTCCTACCTAGCTCTGAGCTCTCCTACAAGAAAGAGGTCGAATTTATTCTCTAAGATCTTCAGTGGGAAAGCTACGAGCTCTCCATGGCAAGCAGAGTCCCTCTTGTTTTATGGCTTCTCCTGCTCTGTTTCTCCACTTCATCAGCTTCTGATGCCGCTCGAGAGGCAAAAATATAAATATATATATATATATATATATATTTGTTTTAGCTTTTCTGTCTTTTAAAATATTAGTTTACTATTTCAGAAGAAATTTTTTTATTATTCTCTGTTTAATTTTCCTTTTACAATATACAAATAGACCAATACATATATTGTTATATGCACCAGTGTTTATTTTTTAATTTTTATTTTTATTTTTCTCTTTTGAGTTGATAAAATCTTATTGTAGGAGTACGTTGTTTATATGGGAGACCTTCCTAAGGATGACTTGTCTACGTCAAGCCTCCATGAAAGCATGCTGCAACAAGTTCTTGGAAGGTAGATGACCTCTCATGTATTTGCAAATTTGACAAACACACACACCCACGCACCCACCCACCCACCCACCCATTCAGACACATAAATACAATATTATTTTGGTAAATTTTTATTCCCTGTATACAATATCACCTTGACTTGGATTTGTCTTAGTCATACATTATATTTACCTCCAAAAGTTGGGAAGAATTTCAAAATCATCTCTCAAATTTCATTTGCATAATAAAATCATCCCTGAAATTCTAAAGTTTATGGATGATTTTGCTGAAATGTTGAAATTTGAGAGAGAATTTTGAAATTCTCCCCAAAAGTTGTGACTTTTTAACATGTTTGTTCCAAGTGTACTTTAAAACACAACACTTATTCCATCATCTTTTCTTTTTCTCTTAAAACTTTATACTTTTAGGGATAGTTCGGATGGAAGAATAGAATATAGTGGGATAGGATAAGACTGGATGAATTTATCCAGATTAAATAGTGTTATTATACGTTCAGTTCAACAAAAAACAAATAGAATAAAATTTTAAATTTACCAAAAAGCCCTCATGGGTTTAAAAAATAAAAAAAAAAACCAAACCAACATAGTCGGACCTTCTTCGGATCAGCTCATCCTTCACTGCCTACCTTTTGTTAGCCTGCCACCTCCCTTTGACATGTTGGCCTGGGTCAGCCGACCCCGGTAGACCAAGAAGTCAGCCCAGAATCGATCGAGTTCGGGTCAGAAGAGAAGTCGGGTCTTCAAATCGAGCCAAACGCCATGAACGAGCTCTAAAAGCTCTGGTGATGTCGACAATGGGCAAATGCAAGTCGTCTCCCTCTGCACTCGTGGTTGAATTACTCTGTGCTTGTGGGCACTATGCTTGTGGATCGCCATCTCCTCTTCCACCTCACCCCCACCGGCTACGTCGACTCCCTCTAACCCTTCCTCCCTTTGCGTCATCGACGGCGGCACAATTGCAATCACAATCACCAAACACTGCAGCCGAAGATCGAGAGGGAAGAGGAAGACTGGTTACGTGAAGGAGGAGATTGGGAGGGCATTTGTGTCCAAAATCAAAGCTTATTAGGGAGGATAAATTTTATCCTCCCAAAAACCCTGATAACTTATCCCCATACCCTCATATGTATCTTTATCCAGCCTTGTTACACACCAACCGAACGCGTGATAATCTTATCCTATCTTATCATACCAATCGAATGAATGACGCCTTAGATGAGATATCAATAGCTTAATACCCATTAACCCAATTGCCACAAAGACAAATGAAACTCTTGGATTGCACCATATTTTTGTATATCCGAGAAAAGCACTTGGAAAATAGCAAAATGAAAATTGATCAGCTTTGGATATATATATATATATATATATATATGAGAAAAGATCAATTGACACTAAATGTAAGCGTAAAAGACTTACAACATATCTTATACCGTTGATTTAGTCAAAATTAATAGTGTAAATTAATTACAGCTGTCTTCCACTAACTTCCAATAATTAATTTACATTTAAATCAACTGTAATTAATCTATACTGTTGATTTTGATCAAATCAACGATGTAAGATATAGTGTAAGTTTTTACACTTATACCTAGGATTAATTGATCCTTTCTCTCTCTCTCTCTCTCTCTCTATATATATATATATATATATATAAACCTATATAACCTTTGTGAGGGAATGCATTCAGCAGCAGCACATCAACATCCCTGCTCCGCAGTTACAAGAAGAGCTTCAATGGATTTGTCGCCCTGTTAACAGAAGAGGAAATGCACAAGATAGCTGGTAAGGGAACCAAAAATGTTAAAAATTATGAGGTATATTCTTTATTGCGATTAATAAAATTTTGTTTGTACTCTTCAATATGCAGGAATGGAAGGAGTGGTTTCTGTTTTTCGTAACGATAAGCTGCAACTCCACACAACAAGATCATGGGATTTCATGAGTTTTCCCCAAATGTCGGTAGAAAAACCACTGAAAGCGACGTTATCATCGGAGTTTTTGACACCGGAATTTGGCCAGAGTCTGAGAGCTTCAAAGATGATGGATTCGGGCCACCGCCAAGCAAATGGAAAGGCTTCTGCGTAACATCATCCAATTTCACCTGCAACAAGTAAGCCCACGTCACAACTTGGTGTAGTTCCTGTAGGATACTCATAGATACATTTTGTAATATTTTCCCTGTTCTGATTTTTTCCTTATAGTTTTAATTCTTTTAGAATATTACAGCTCGTTTCTTGTTTATGCAAATTTTGGGTTTCCAATATAGTTAATAATTTAGGCCTTGAATAGGTTATTTTATACACGTTTAAATTGTTTTTACTGGGAAAGATAAAATTAAAGAAGTCATCTGGAATGACGGAAGTGAGAGCGGGAGGTTTCCATATAAATAAAAGCAAAAATATAAATTTTGGTAAAAAAATATTATAAATTTTGGAGACATGCAATCAAATTTTTTAAATTTGTGCATAGTCTATATCATAGAACAAAAGGTTACGCGGATCATACCAATTTTTCAATGAAAATGCAGCAAAATTATTGGAGCAAGATACTACAGGAGCAATGGTGAGTTTGAGGAAGAAGATATCAGGTCTCCGAGAGACACCGACGGCCATGGAACACACACAGCATCAACAGCAGCCGGAGGACTCGTAAGCATGGCCAGTCTGTATGGCCTTGCTGAGGGCACAGCTCGAGGAGGTGTCCCGGGGGCTCGAATTGCTGTCTACAAAATATGCTGGTCTGATGGGTGTCAAGATGCCGACGTTCTTGCAGCATTTGATGATGCTATTGCGGATGGCGTTGATATAATCTCTCTTTCTGTTGGGGGGTCTCCCAAAGATTATTTACATGATCCGATTGCAATTGGGTCCTTTCATGCCATGAAAAACGGGATTCTCACCTCGGCGTCAGGAGGCAATTATGGTCCTAACATTGGCACCATTTCGAATGTTGCTCCCTGGTTTCTCTCAGTAGCTGCTAGCACCATTGACCGAAAATTCTCCACCAAGGTTCAGCTGGGTAACAAGATGATTTTTGAGGTGATGCTTCCTTTGATGAATTCTCGTTCATTCTTCAAATCTTTCTAATTTAAGAACTTGTCAAGGTTTCAGATTTTTTTTCAAAACAACTAATAGTAGCATTCATCTTGCATCTGATACAGGGAATTTCCATCAACACATTTGATCCATTGAAGATGTACCCTATGATTTATGGTGGAGATGCAACAAATAAAACTAGAAACTACACCGGTTCCTCCAGGTACTAGAAACTATTATCTTTATTTTGAAGGAAATCTTTTGGTTCACAAGCCTTCTCTTGACAATGGAAATGCAGGTTTTGCACGGGAAACTCGCTGGACTCAAATTTAGTGAAAGGTAAAATCGTTCTCTGCGATGCTAGAACTTCTGGGAAAGCACCATTTTTGGCAGGTGCAGCTGGAACAGTGATGCGAAGTAAACTTTTAGATGGTTATGCCGACTCCTATCCCTTTCCAGCAGCTCTTGTTCGTGCCGCTGATGGTAATAACATTGCCGATTATATTAACTCAACAAGGTATTTAGAATGCTATTGTTTCTCCACTAACTAAAGACAAATGGATACTAATTATTGGTCAAATGGATCCTGTGTACGTGTTGCAAATGCATAATAGAAATCCGATTGCATCGATATTCAAGACCAACCAGCTCAATGATACACTAGCACCATATGTAGCCACCTTCTCTTCAAGAGGTCCAAGTTCTATTACAGGTGATATCCTCAAGGTAGCCTATCTATAAAACAATCTTAGCTTGAATTCTACATATAAGCTTGGAAATTCAAAATATATATTCTCAAACTTAATCTCTCTCGTTGTCGTTCAAACTCTGCAATTTGCGTTGTTTCAGCCGGATTTAACTGCTCCTGGAGTCGATATTCTGGCAGCATGGTCACAGGGGGCGCCAGTATCAAGTGTAAAAGAAGATAAAAGAAGGGTACCGTATAATATAATATCTGGAACATCAATGGCTTGCCCACATGCTTCTGGTGTGGCTGCCTACATCAAATCATTCTATCCATCTTGGTCTCCTGCTACAATCAAGTCTGCCATGATGACCACTGGTATTGCCTTAATATTTATACTTTTCATTAGAACTTCAAACTTACATAAACAATGTCTAACTTTTGTGTTTTTTTTTCTTACATGACATCTTTTCAGCGTTTCTCTAAATCTTTTAACCAGCCAGAAGCCGAGTTTGCTTATGGCGCAGGGCACA